TTAAGAAGATTTTTGGGCTGGGAAATTTCATGTGGTTATGCTAATGTAGACGCCGATGAAAGATTGTTAGAGGTTGAATTATGGAATATACTCGGTGAATTAGAATTATGTGGGGGTGAGTATTTTATAGTATAAAATTATGAATTGATAAATGATATTAATATTTACAATCTAACAATTTTATCATTTTTTTTAGGAAACAAGTGTGCATCTAGTCTTTCAATTTTATACAAATGCCTTCGAACGGTTAACCTTTTGGAAAATCCTTACACTTATCATAGGAAAATGCGTATCAGCCCTTCTCGTGTTTACGCAAATGCTGCATTACAATGCTATGCTAGCCTCCGCTCGGTTCCCTTTTTATCCCGTAGAGCTGTATCTCATTTCTGGAACTTGGCTATTAAAGAAAAAGGCCACTTCAACTCTGAAGAAAAATGGCTTGAAATCGCGCTTATTAGTGGCAAAAATAACGACATATGGGAAAGTGCAGCAAATAGGATCTGTGATCATGTTTTTAATTTATCAAAAAGCGAAGAAACTCTTAAACCTATTATTAGCACAAACATTCCACTCGTCTATGTTTCTGAAGTTCAAGCACTTTTTCATATCAAGGAAGCCTTTTCCAACCTTATTTCTAAACGACAGGGCACAAATAATATTCTAAAGGGATGCCAATTTACCTTTTCTGAACTTCTCAGTGTTACCACACCTGCCTCTTTAATGCATTGGTATGCATTGGTTGGATGTGTCGTCCAAGCTTTTCATGATGGTAAAAATGATTCTGGTACAAAACTAGTAAACAAATTGAGGGATGAATCAAAGACTAGTGACAACTTGAATAAACGGATTATTACAATGGGTTTATTTTCTCGATCCCTCTTGATTTGTGGTAATATTGAATCTTCCATTCATTGTGCTGATAAAGCTGTCAACTATATATCTTTGCGAAAAAATGAAAAAACAGAAACTTTAGAAACTGATAAAGATTTGGTGATTGATGAGATTGTTAATGATGTTCATGATCTTGCAGAGTTTTGTGTTGGATGGATTATTTTAGAAACAAGAATTGTTGGACTAGGAATTATCGGACATTTGTTATCAAAAAATAATAATAAACCATTATCAAATGTACTTGACGAGAAACATTTAAGATCTTCAATTGATGTTTGGGCTCGTTATCTACGCCGATCATCGAAATCTAATGTATTTGACAGCATCTCAAAGTCACGAGAAAGATTTATAAGGAAACTTGACCTTCTCGGAAGGATTATATCCGGCATCGATGATAATGACTATGGGTATGATTGCGATTACGATAAACAGAATACCAATGAGTATAAGGCCACAAGAGCCTTGCATGTCCTAAAGGGCATGTAAACGCAAAATTACGTTTTTTTTTTTTTTTTTTATATCTCGTTATGTATATATATTTCTTTTCGTATTTTAAAAAAGTAAGATTTGTAAAAAGATTCTTATATTCTTGTGATTAAGTACCCCCCTCCCGTGTTTT